ATGTGCGCAACTCTAGGCACAAGGCGATCTTTGACGAGCTGCATGTGAGCATCTTTGACGAGCTGCAGTACCCGGGGGTGGGATGGTTTCCAGTTATAGCCATGCCGTTGTATCCGGAAGGTTATTGTATGTACATAGGAGGTTTGCGATAGGGCTGGGTAGGGGGTTTAGGCAATGAATTCCGTGCATACCGGTACTGATACTGTTTACTGTGATACTGTTTTTAAATAATTATACGGGATAACTGTGCGATAATGGTGACTTGTTGGTTGCTCACCCCCACTATTTTCTTGTTGTTTTCTCTCTTCCTTTGATTTAGGTTGAGACGAGCTGGAGGCGGTGGCGTAGGACGAGCGAGATGGTGGTCATTTTGTGTTGAAATCTTATGCTTCCGCATGAACTTGTATTTATTTATATGCTATCGCACTTTGGATTATTTTATTTCTTCATTTTCGAATTATGTTGAATTTCGTTGGAACCTTGATTTCATGCTAGACATTTGGGAATGATTTGAAAATTTATGATTTATGAGATTGTTAATTTGATTGTTCGAGCTGTGTAGGTTCATTGGATTGTTTGATTGGGTGTGTTTATTTGTTGTGGTTAATAAGTAGCGCCCGTTTCTCGATAAATGTTTTAACTTGGATTTAAAAAAAATAACTCTAATTTTATTAAATAAAATTGGTAAATTCTTTAAAATAAAACGGGGCGTTACAAATCCCTTATCCACCATTGTTGTCAAATGAATAAATTAGACCTATATCTTGAGATATCCATCCCGAAATTAGATGGGGCTAAACAAAAAATTATATGGGGCTATATAAAAGTTTCAAAAATTTAAAGTTAGAATTTTTATTTTTTTTATGGACCTGGGGCTAGAGCCCACCGTAGCCCAAGGGTTGCTCCGCCCCTGCCTGCGATGCCCCATCGCACGCAGCGAGGCCTGGAAGCACTCGAGCAGCCGCATGCCACCGAGAGATCAGAGATCTACCACACGCCTCAAGCCGAGATCCTTCAAAGCGCGAGCACCTTCGCTGGCGCCCGTTAATCATCTCGCCGACGATTGTTGTTTCGTTCAAACGTAGACCGCCCTTGTCGCGCAGGTCTTCACTGATTCGAATCGCCCCTGCCTTCTGATGTCAGCCGCCATCTCCGCCGCTTGCTTCCGCTGAGATGTCGCATAGTATAGTATCAAGTGAGAAATTTGGAAGAGATACCGACATCTAATTATGGGTGCGTGTAGAAGAAAGGGGAAAACGAGTTACAAAAAAAAAAGGGAGTGAGAAAAGAAAAGAAAACGAAAAAGAAAAGGGAAATGAGAGGAAAGAAAATGGAGATAGAATTGGGCTTTTGGGTTTATTTGGGGTTTTGGCTAAATTTTAAGTGTGAACTTTGAAGATTGGGCCTTTGGAATTAAGGGTTGAAGTTAGAAAAGAAGAGCAGTTGAATGGGCAAGGAAGAAATAAGTGTGGGCTAAATTAAAATGGTTATCGAAAGGAGCTTTGACCCAACAGCCGAACCGTGCCTCCTTGCTTGTAGATTCCCGAAGCGCGATTTCAAGGAGTCGAGCCTCGAGAGCTGTCAACTATGCATTATCTGCTTTTCTTCCCATCATCAGTTACCAAGTGGGTGTTGCTAAACTTGTTATGCTTTTATTCTTTATGATTGAATGTTATTCACGATGTATGTATGTGAGTGGATTATTGATCGATGGAGAGCGTATCTCATGTCGGTGGAGTACATCGACGTTTCTTTGACGTTGCCTTGAGAGCGTATCTTCTGACGATAGCGTACATCGTTTGACTATCTCCTGCTGGCGAGTAGTTAGTGAAAAAGTGTGCACACCGAGAATAGGGCAAACTAATTGATGGTTGTGGTGATTTGGTGTTTTGGTTATATACTGCGTTGTGATAACTGTCTATATACTGAATATTTTACGTAGCATTGTTTCCCCATGGTGAGCTATTGTTTGCTCATCCCCATAACCCCTTTACAGGTCATGAAGCTGGCAGCGGTGACGATGGAATGACGGGTGGTTATCAACTTTTATGAACCTATTTCATTTCCCTTCCGTAAACTTGATCTTGTATTTTTTTAAATTGTGTTTTGTTGAACAATGTTGGATTGGTTAATTTTGGAAAGATGTTTAAGAAACTGATATGAGTTGATTATTAACACGTGCTTTGGTATTAGTATATGTTGGGACAATGATGTCCCATCGAATTGAATGTGTTGATGATAAGCTAAAATGATTTCTGAGTAACGCCCACTAAATCAAAATGTAAATTTGTTCTCAAAAAAATTAATAATAATACATTTTTTTTTTCTGAAAAATTGATTCTCTCTTGAAATTTTACCTTTTAAAATAACGGGGCGTCACAGGTAATAAAAAAAAAGACATTGTACAATATTATCACGACATACGATTTTTGACTAAAAAGAATGAACGTAAACAAGCTATTTCTAATTAAAAACGAAGGCTAAAATCAAAGGTCGACAAAATAAACATCGAAAACTATTTGTTTTCTTTAATGCTGAACGAGTTAAATTAGGAATGCAGAAAATATAAATTAATGCCATTATACGACAGTAGCACGAAAAGGGTTGTTGACGAAAAATAATCTAGGAATACGAGCTATTTTCAAAGACAAACCAAGGGACGAAGACAAAGCGCGATGAAATAAACTTCGAATGTTATTTTTTGTGTTTAAAATGAAAACGATCGGCTATGGGTAATCGAAAAAAATTAATGACATTGTACAATATTATCAGGATATACGGTTGTTGTCTAAAAAGAATGAACATAAACGAGCTCTTTGGATGAAAAATGAAGGGCCGGTCAAAGAGCGACAAAATAAACATCGGAAAAAATAAACTAAATATCTAGGTCCCGACACATTAAACTCTAATTATTGTATTCTAAATATTATTTAATACAAACTCAATATCTCATTTAATGTTTCACTCAATCTACTTTATTTAAAAGGAAAATGCTATATGTACATAATAAATTAATTTAAATTACCTCATTTAAATTCAGCGGCGGATACAAAATTTTTGGGCAGCCAGGGCAAAATGAAATGATCTTTAACTCCCTGTTTATTTTTCCAATTATTATAATCTGTAGCTGTGAACGTCACTACCTCCTTGGTCACCATGTTCCGGGATAACAACAAAAGCAAAATAAAACATCTTTTTCTATGCTATACTCTAACCATTCAACATGATCATCAAACCAAGAAGAATTAAACCTGCGCTTAGTCCCGTAGATGTCTCGTTGAGGAAACTTATAGCTTCGAGATTGACAGGGGCCCTTGAGTAGATAACAACGTCTAACTTGAGCTTCCGGTGTGCCGGGTCTGAAGGGAGATTTTTCAGAAGTTTACCAAGTTCGATACTATTTGAATTTTCGCCAAGTCCGGTGGTCTTTGAATTTTGATTGTCGATCTTACTTTTCTTCTTAGACTACAAAAGAGTTGAAAGTTCTTCCGAATTTGATACTTTTCGGAAGTAAAATGTAAATCTGCAATCATTAATCAACAATTGATTTCTACTAACATAAAAAAATTCCAAATTCGAACATCAACAGTCAGTCATTCAACAAACTCAACAAACTCTAATAAGTGTGATTTTTGAACTAATAATTCTGTTTCTGTACAAGTTACAACCTAAACCAACCATGAGCCCACCAAAACAAATAAATTCAATTCAGTTCTTTCTTGCACAAACTGTACGCACAGCAAATTACCGAGAGGTCCGCAGTCTGCTCAAGACGAAATTGCAGTATAAGGAAAAAACAAACAGAATATAATACAAACAAAATCTGAGTTTAAAAAAAAGTGATATGAATAGTTGAACTTAAACATATAAAACACTTACATTAGAACTAAAGCGTAGAAATGCAATCAAACTATTCAACAACTGTGCACTCCCTTTCCGTCACTTCAGCCGTCCTTGAGAAGAAAATTTATTTTTGATTCTATGTATGTCAGATTCAGGAAAAAGGGGAAGATGAGAGTTGGGTGTTCGACGACCAATTTTTGAATTAAGGGCTTTTTTTCCCGAGTGAAAATTGGGGATCTTAGATCTTCAATAGACTTTTATGTTTTTTTCTCTTGCCTGCGTGTGTGTGTTATGGGCTGGGGCCTGGGCAAAATAAATATTTGATATATTTTTTTTTGGCCTTTTAAGAAACGACATCGTTTTGACTTTCAATTTTTAATTAAATGGAAGCAAAAAACGACGTCGTTTACAAACTGATTTTAAAAAAAAAAATAAAAAATAAATTGCCTTACCAATCGTCTTCTTCCTTGCGCCGCGTGGACAGACTCTTTTGCCATCTACCACCAGAAAAATTCAATTAAAATATGCCATAACCTGTCTTTAGCATTAAAATTTTAGCCTGGGCAGTTGCCCAGGCTCGCCTATATATAAATCTGCCCTGTCCAGACTCGTCTATATATAAATCCGCCCTGCCCAAGCTCGCCTATATATAAATCCGCCCTGTCCAGACTCGTCTATATATAGATCCGCCCCTGTTTAAATTCAGAGTTCCATCAAAATTAATTTTGATCGTTACTAATCCGTTGTTTAATATCGGTTTTGTAGATGCCATTATGCCACCCATCCTCATCTATTAAATGAGGGACAAGTGCTCCTCATGTAGTAAAAAAAATGATTTTTCATTTTTTTTTTATATTAATTACAAGTGAGGTAGATGAAGGTGCCACTCATGTGCAAAACGTTTTTGTGTCGTATATCTTGCGGCTACGGCTACAGCAACGTACTAGCTAAAAGAAAACTAGAAAGGGGTACGTGAGAGAGACCAAAATGAAACTAACCACGTCACCTCATCTTTTCTTTTTTCCACTCTCTGTCCCCACACAACAACGCACTCATTTAAAAACCCCCTTCTCTCCTCCTTTTTGTTTTAGCTTGCACGTTCTCTACGAACTACAAGCTTTTAAATTACAATTTCACCCCCTCGCACAATGCAATCCTTATCTCCTCCCTCCGCCACAGATCTCAATTCCATAACCCGAAACACGCCGTCCAACGCCCTCCGCCGGACCCGCCGCCGGGCCATCCAATGATCCTCGCGCTACGACCCCGTTCCCGGCTCCCCCGTCGGCAGGGCCCGCCACGAGTGGCAAAGCGCGTGCGCCATACTCGCCAGCAAGGTCGTCTCCCAGCAGCAGGGATCCGACCATAGCAGCGGCGGAGCCGATGCCATCTCCGCCGTAAACGGCCGCCCCGTCCTCGACCTCGTCCCCGCTCCAGCCGGCGAGCCCTCCCCCGCCGCGCCGCTCCTGCCCCGGCCGCTCAGCATCTCCGACCTCTCCCCGGCGCCGATGCACGGGTCCAGCCTCCGCGTGGCCTACCAGGGCGTCCCCGGCGCGTACAGCGAGGCCGCCGCCGGCCGTGCCTACCCCGGCTGCGAGGCCATCCCCTGCGACCAGTTCGAGGTGGCCTTCCAGGCGGTGGAGCTCTGGATCGCAGATCGGGCCGTCCTCCCGGTGGAGAACTCGCTGGGCGGCTCGATCCACCGCAACTACGACCTCCTCCTCCGCCACCGCCTCCACATCGTCGGCGAGGTCCAGCTCCCCGTCCACCACTGCCTCCTCGCCCTCCCGGGCGTCCGGCGCGAGTACCTCACCCGCGTGATAAGCCACCCGCAGGCCCTTTCCCAGTGCGAGAACACCCTGACCAAGATGGGACTGGCGGTGGCGCGTGAGGCGGTTGACGACACCGCGGGGGCGGCGGAGTACATCGCGGCGAACGGGCTCCGGGACACGGCGGCGATCGCGTCGGCGCGTGCGGCGGAGCTGTACGGGCTGCAGGTGCTTGGGGACGGGATCCAGGATGACTCGGGGAACGTGACCCGGTTTGTGATGCTGGCCCGGGAGCCGATCGTGCCGCGGACGGACCGGCCGTTCAAGACGAGCATCGTGTTCGCGCACGAGGGGCAGGGGACCAGCGTCCTCTTCAAAGTGCTGTCGGCGTTCGCCTTCCGCAACATCAGCCTGACCAAGATAGAGTCGAGGCCCCACCGCCACCGGCCGATAAGGCTTGTGGACGACGCAAACGTGGGGACGGCCAAGCACTTCGAGTACATGTTTTATGTTGATTTCGAGGCCTCGCTGGCGGAGGCGAGGGCGCAGAACGCGCTGGCGGAGGTGCAGGAGTTCACCTCTTTCCTTAGGGTACTTGGCAGTTACCCCATGGACATGACGCCTTGGACCCCATCCTCCAATAGGGAACTTTAAGTTAGTTCTTATTTTATTATTATTTAATCTTGATATATTATACTGCAACCGTGTTTTTTTTTGAATCCTTCTTTTATTGATTACTATTTGTGGGTTTATTGTGTTGGTTGTCATTTGTCAATGCTGCAATGTTAATTTTATTTCCCTTTTTTGTGAAAATAAGGAAGAACGCAAAAAAACAAACAAAAAAAAGAACAAAAAAAGGAAGAACCTAAATCGATTTGGTTCTAGTGTGAATTTGTTTAGTGTATATTTTGTGTGATTTTATTTTTACTTTCATTTGTCGAAAATAAGTGATTAAAACAACGAGAGTTAGAGAGGCTCAACAATGGAAGGTTCTGTAAAGCTTAGTAGGTTAAGTTTTATGAAGTTATAGATCTACTATGCTTCCAAGGACTTTACAATCGATTGCGAGAAGGTACGAAAAGATATTTATAATAGCCGGAGTTGAGAGGGCTCTCAATGGATAAATTTTAATAGATTATTGATTTGTAATGTCACTTTGTAAAATAATTCAAAGCTTAATTAATAGATTAAACTTTGAATGGATTGTTCATTGAAATGTCACTTTCAAGAATAATTTGACCTCAACTTTTTTGCCTTATAATTATTCGGAATTTACACTTCAAATTACTTTTAGAACATTCAATATATATACAGGGATTTGTTCAAATACGACCGTTTTTTTAAATTGAGGACGCGAGACTCATTTTTAATCACAAGATTTGGTACATCATGTGTGGCCAAGATTTACTTTTTTTTTAATTATTTTAATTATTTAAATATTATTTTGACCCGTTGGCTCCGGCGTTGACCGTTGACAGCTAACTTTCCAACTAGGTTAGTTGTCTGTAGTTGATAGGTTAGTTCTATGTAGTTGCTAGGCTAGTTCTCTGTAGTTGCTAGGTTAGTTGTCTGTAGTTGCTAGGTTAGTTCTCTATAGTTGCTAGATGATATAGGATATTATATACTTAAAGAATATTCCGGCTCACCGAGCCGGTCGTACAAGCCCAATATTAGAAATGCTACATCAGTCGAGCAACACCGAACTGAGAGGAAGTGGTCGAGCATCGAAGAGGACCTGGTCGAAGATCGACTTGCCAGAGGAGGACTCATTTGATCGTCCACTCGGTGAGGGGAGAGCAATCGGCGGCGTGGTTTTAACGCGAGAAAGCACGTGAGCTTCGTCAGAAAATCTCAAGAGAATATTCAGAGGAATAATTACCCTCTGCTCAAAGGGGCACGTGGCGAGAGTGATAGTGGCGATAACTACCTCTGACACACGCACACTGTGTGTGTACGGATGGACAGCGCTGGGAGGACAGTTCATCAGATCCGGGCAGCTCCTAGAGCAGGTATCTCGCTTCTATATATATATAGGAGTGAGTCTTTCTTGTTACTTACGATTTATCCATTCTATACTTTGGAGAATTGAGAGAGATATATACTGACTTAAGCATCGGAGACTCTTCACCGGAAAAACTCCCCAGTGTGAGAGTTCTTTGCAGCTACGCGGCGTTCTACCAGCGAGGAGGAGGAAGACGAGCCGATTTCAAGCCGATCGGAGTGTTTTGCGTTACCATTTTGGCGCCGTCTGTGGGACTTTCGTTCGAAAAGTGGTGTGCTGAGATTACTGAAGCTTGGCAGCTATGGCAGACGAAATTCCTAGGAGAGATTTGCAAGCGTCGTTCGATGAGGCATGGACGACGACGAGGCCGTTTGGAGAAGGCCCTCCTCTGGGCTTCTCTAGATCTTTGCATACACCGGTGACTCTGATGCCTATTCCGCAAGATGTGGGGGTCACGCCGATGCATCCCGAAGCTGATGTGGGCTCAAGCCGAGCTCAAGAGGCCCGTACGACTCCGGGAACGGCGATCCCAATGCCGTTACAGCCAGATCTGGCCGTGGCGCCGCAGCAAAGAGCGGTGGTGCAGGGAGTAGAGCCTCCGCGGGTGGAGGAGCAGCGTCTCGGCCAACAGGTGGTGATGACTAGGCAGGAGATGCAACAGATGATTGCGAACGCGGCGGCACAAGCGGTCCAGCATGTCACCCAAAGCCTTTCTCGAGTGGCTGCTGGGCCGACGATTGTGGAGGAGGATGTGTCGAGCTATGGGGGAGATGGAGCTCCGCGAGATCGGGAGGTGGAGAGACTCGAGGAGCAGGTGATATAGATGCAGGCCAAGATGGATGGTCGACCTGAGAGGCGCGCTTGAGGACACCTGTTCTCGAGGGAAATATTGGCTGCACCATTACCCGCGAATTTCAGGGATATGAGTTTGGTGTTCGATGGGACTTCTGACCCGTCAAGGCATGTAAGGGCGTTTGAGAACTTGGCTGTGTTAGATGGTTATTCTGATTCTGTTAGTTGCAGGGCATTTGTGTCGACCTTGAGAGGAGGTGCGCTCGACTGGTTTCAGTAGCTCCCTCATGGATCGATAGCGGATTTCGATGATTTCGCTGAGAAGCTGATGACCCAATATGCGAGTGTTGTGGCGCAGGAGAAGAAATATTTGACTTTGATGGTGTTGATGGATGGTTCCGATCAACGGTTAAAGAAACGAGTAATGAAAATACGGAAAGAGAAAAGAACGAGGAGATACGAGTTAGTTACGATTTTATAAATAGATCACTGGGTCGACCTCTCGTACGAGGTCGACACTTGTGATATCCTTACAGTTCTTATAGAGGTTAATTACAAGTTTAGAGAGAGAAGTAGAGAGAAAGCCTGTCAGTTGAGGATTCAACCAACCGAAATAAATGAAGTGGGTTCCTATTTATAGTGCTCTTAAATGTGGCACTGTTCAGGTACTGTGCATCGGTCTTATCGCACAGTGTTCTTGCAGAGCAGTTCGGCATCTCCCTGACAGATATTAATGCGATTTGGAGTTTCCTTAATCATTGCCTGTCAGGCATTTAATGCACACATGAGGGACATTTAATGCTGACAGGCTTTATTGTTAGAGTAGGATACCCGGCGTTCCAATCAGATTGGACGTATTCTACTTGTAAATACAACCTATTAGAATTATATTAATTAAAAGGCATTAATTTATTTTAAGAGTAAGCATTTATCCTATATTTGCACTTAAGATAAAATTCGTAGATCACATATAGCTATAAGGTATGGTTGCGCATAGAGATGGTGATCATGGAACATACCTTGAAAGCTGTGATCTTAAATACAGTTCCAAGTCGTTGGATGTTTCGAGATGGGATATCAAATAAATTCGGAAAAGAGGTGCACATATGATGTATACTTGTTGGACAAGAATATTTCATTCCATCAACATTAGCGTGGGATGCAAATACATATATGTGGGTGCTTGTTAGAGAACAAGTTCACTGAATATGACCGTATGAAAATTCTTAATGATAATTTATCTGTCGAATAAGAATTTTCATGTTACAATAGTACATGATTAATCCTTAGACTTGAGGCACGATGGTAACTTTGTGCATATTATATTTTACTTTGATTTATCCTTCTGACTGCTAGCACAATCATATAAAGGGATATTTTGGGTATTATATTAATATGTATGGAAGTTTGTCAGTGGCCAACAAAGAATTTGACACTTATAAAGATAAGTGAATTTCCTATGTGTTTCATAGTTAGTAATTCAAAGTCCTTGGCCAAGGCGGGATGAATAGAGATTCATAAACGAATTACTAAACTTGAAATGGAATCATAGTTATTAAATTAATTTGGGTTTCGACAAAATCATACCCAAGATTTAATCGAGAAATTGGATGTCGAAAGGATATTACATGTATGGACTTCTAATCGAAATAGGTTTACTCGCTATTCACTTAATACTAGATTCATGCTACTTGCTAGATGTTTCCATGATATGCGGGTTCTTAAAATTAAAGAGTTAATTTCATGAATAAGAATTAATTAGATTAATTCAAATTACAAAGAGTTGTAAGCCCACTACTAGTATTAATTATGAACCTTAAAGGTCACACCAATTTTTGAATGAAGGTAAAATTCAAATAGTAATTCTAAAGAGTTAGAATTAATTGACAAAACTAATTTGATTAGATGTCAATTAAAGGAATATATTAAATTAATCAATTAAATTGATTAATTGTATTTTTGGATATTAATTTAGTAATTAATGGAATTACTAAATAAATAGTTGGAATTTAAAACTGGATTTTAAATTTTAAATCCAAATAATAATATGATTGTTAAATGAGGAGATGGGACAAAAGATTAAAATAATAATGTCTTGAAAAATTGTTTTCAAGAATTATTATTTTATAGGCTTAATGGCGGGAAAATACACGACCTTTACGTGTTTGGCCATTTAATCACCACCTTTAGACCTTGGCAAATAAATACATGACCTTTACATTCTTGGCAACCCGATACATGGTTTTAACTGCCGTTATCTTCCGTTAACGGAAATCCTACGTGGCTTTTGACACACCAAACGGACATCCGATACATGGTTTTAACTGCCGTTATCTTCCGTTAACGGAAATCCTACGTGGCTTTTGACACACCAAACGGACATCCGAGTCAGCGCCCAGGTGGCAAATCGTGCACATGTGGTAGAATTGCAAAAAATTGCAAAAATAATGCAAGAAGGAGAATTGAACCTTGTACCTCTAGTATATAAGATGGGCTTATGAGCCACTTGATCCAACCCAACTTATGTTAAGTATGGGACTTCATTTATATATATACCAACATCATTTTATCTATATTGTATAAAATTTATACAACTTTCAATTATAGTACTTATAAATAAATTATTTATTAAATATATACTAATTATGAAATAAAAATAAGTAAACTAAATAAATAAATAATATTACATTCTTGTTTAATCAAACTTTTATTCTCATTAATGTTATTTTTATATTAATTCACTTGATTTAAAATTAATTATTTTTATATATTAAATAATTATTTACTAAATGAATAAATATATTAAATATATATTATATAAATAAAGATATTAAATAATACAATATTATTTATTTATAAAAATAATAAATAATAAAATAAATACTAAATATAGTAAATAAATAAATAATACAATAAATTAAAATTAAATAAAATATATAATTAAAAACTAAATAACATATAATATTTTTTATTT